ATTCTAATAATAAAATTAATGATAAATTTTATATTTTTTTAATAATAATTAATATAAAAATAACATAATAATTATACTATTAATTTATATTTTTAAGGTTAAAATTAGATCAACTCAAATAAAAATGACGAGGTCAGCTGCATTAATTGAGCATCTGTCTTAGAAAATTCAGCAGCCACCTAACGCCACCGAAATATCTAAATGGCCTTGGAGGAGGGGTAAAGCTTGGCCATAACCTTTGCCTATAAATAATTGCCTATAAATGATGGCTGCCATTGCATCCACACATATAACTTTTAAAAATTAAGGATTCTTCGTCTTCCATCCTCTTTGCACTGCACACAGGTTGATTTTTGAAAGAGGTTCATAAAGTAATCAAGATGAGTGGGTTGCAGTTGGGTGCCTCATTTGTGGTAGGAACTTTCTTTGGCGGCTTCATGGCTCGTGGATTCCAACGTCGTTGCGACCGCCATAGAAAACTCAAAGAAGCTGGGGGTCACGACGGCAAGCCTTGCCCTCTCTCGGCTAATGAAAAGAAAACTGGTGATTCCAACCCCGCAGGACCACATGTGGAAGAGAAAATACCGGAAAAACTCTCCAAGGTTGCTTAGGCTTAATTAACAGTTTGTTTTAAAAAATAAATAAATAATCATACTGTTTTATCTTTACTATTATGTCATCTGTCTGTACTCTGTGACCATTTCTGGTGTTTCCTTGTTTGCCTAAATTCATTGTTCTAATAAAAAAAATCATGTTATTTTTTTTTAAGATTATAATTATTTATATATTAATTAAAAAAAACTTATAAGATTTAAATACATAATTCATAAGATATAAATAACTTTAACCTAAGATCTAATATCTTGATTAGAACAAGTCCTTGAATCATGCTAATGACTTAGTCAATGACTCAATGCACGGTATATGGCTTTCGCACGGTATTTTCATGTTGTTAATTAATGTGATTGCCAGAATGACAGAGACAAATAATAAATTTTAAGAATAAAAAGTCTTCATTTTTAACGTAAATTATATTTTTTTATTTTAAAATAATTGTTATTTTTTAAAATTGCATTATATTAGTAATGGTTTACATCCAAGTATAACAATTGCACCAAATTAGGAGGAGAACAGTGAGCCCAGTATGGTGACATTGGCCGTCAAGTGTGAATTTGGCTACCCAATCAGGCTGAATCAGCTATCTTGTTTGCTTGTCTAGATATATACAAAAACTGACAAATTTCAAAATTACAAAAAAGTTGCCTTCTAGACTAAATCAAAGGTTCAATTTGCCATTGCACTACTATTTCTTTCTTCATCATTTGAATTAGAGCTTGATTATCTAACTCAAAAATAGCCATGCGCACTCCTAAAGAAAGTGCCATTCCTACTACAGCTCAAAAAGCGAATGCCTCTGCTACCAAAACTGAATCTACTGCTTGTTTAAAAGAGCATCCATCATTCAAAATCATATTCCTATCTCGACATACAACCACCATCGCTACTTGTGAATGCTCCGAAGATACAGCAACATCTGTATTAAATTTCAACTCCATATCAGCTGAAGAACACCAAAAGATTTCTCTATGCTGCTCTTTTTTAGCCAATGAATCACCAGAAGCTTTTAATTGACATTGTTGTGCAAGAAAAAACCCATCCCTTAATTGTTAAGCCTTTCTCAAAACCAACATTGAAGTAGAAGTTTTACCTTGAAAAACTCATTCATTGCAATTCTTCCCAATATATCAACAAATACAAGCAATTTCATCCATTAAACCATAAACATTACCAACCCACT